TATAGTGGACTTAAATTCTGATCATATATATAGAAGTGGCAAGAAATGACAAACACATACATAGCACATGCGGGCAGAAAAACTTACTGATTCTTTTCTTGCACATCCGTATTTTCTCTTTATCTATAAAATATAGTGAAATATAGTCAGGTACAAATATGTGCTTATTCAGCTTAAACAAATGAAATCAAAATGTGAAAGTAATTAATCACCTTGGAGGTGTAGTCAACAATATCTAACCACAGCAACTTTGATTGCAAGTGATGGGCTAAAGCCTTGGCAACTGTTTGCAGGTAAAGTTCTTCAAAATTTATTAAGAAAGCTAATATGAGTCTAACATACATGAAAGCCCAAACAATCTAGTCCTTATTGCAACACACCTATACTCTAATCATGTCATCAAAACAAAGGAGACATAGTTAAATCATGAGTTAAGGTGCAAAAGTATCCAAGAATTTTTTTTCAAGAACTTCGAGTATCCTTAAGTTTACAATGGTGTGTGAGCGCCCATTAGCTTTATAAAAAGAGCCAACCTTCTCCAATCTATTAAAATAATGATAGAACTTAACAAATTGGGGAAGATTGGCTCCTTTGATAAAGTTAATGTGTATTGATCCATCATTGTTGATTTAGGGATACCATAACTTTCTGGAGAAAATGTTTTTAGGTATTTTTACATCTTAGCCTTTATATCATTAACTTTGTTGGAAAAATGAAGATATTTCCCACGTTGTCCAAGTTTAAAACCATGCATTGTTATCATAAATCAGTGGGGTAGAGGAATAATTGCATGGGAAACTGAGTATGAAGGAAAAGCAATAGAGGAACACTTCATTGTAGGAGCCAAAGACAAATTAAATTAGACTTATAATAAGGACTATATGTGTGTGTTTTCTTTCTCTAGAGGCTAAGGTGCCTTATGATAAGAACCAGATAAAATACCTGCAGGTCCAGAAAGTATAATTGCCCAGCTCGCTAGTGGAAGGTTCCGGATGTGTCTAGAGAAGTAAGTTGTTTTAGATGAAAAAATGCGGCACTTACCAATAACTCCCGAGTCCTTTCACTGTCAATGTAGTGGAATAAGAATTATGTTATCAAGTTGCTCTTTTATTTTTGGCTCATGTTATAAGTTTGATAATGTATAATAACTCTTATTTCCGTTAGATTTGAAAGCAGAACAAGAATCGGGTGTTTAAAAAAGTCATTAATCTAGTCAACTATATCAAATTCCTCCAAAGGAGAAAACAACACCATCTCCATTAGTGTTAGTATAAATAGTATTAACAACTACAATATGTGTAAGTGAATACAATAATTCTAGATATAAGGAGAATTAGAGGGTTAAAATGTAAATATATCCAGAAAGATTTTGTTTTTTAAGAGTTTCTGATATCCTTAAATAAACAACTATGCATAAGTTCTTATTAATTTTATAAAAGATGCCAAGATTTCCCAATTCATTAAAGTAACCTGACATCGACCATTAAATTTTAAGGATAGAACTTAATGAATTGAGAAATGTTAGTTTCTTTTATAAAGTTAATAGATATCCATAAACAATTGTTGACTTCAGGATACCAAAAGCTTATAAAAAAAGTTTTTGAATAGTTTTGTACATTACCCAATATCATATTATATATTTGAAAAATGTAAATACCATTGCTTTCAAGAAATTTCCATGGTGCGTGAATTCCTGGAGTCTTGGTTTCATTGTGACTTTTTGATCATGACGTTATCTCATCATGAATTGAAAAGTGACAAATTAATAAAGTTAATATCACCTTAAGTAATAAGGAAAGTCTTGAAAAGTTTCCTTGCACTCCTTGCCATCAATCACATTTCTGAGAAGCTCTTGTTCAACCTGTTCATTCCAAAGCTCTTCACTCGAGTTAAGATTCCAGCCAAGCCTTGAACTTAATCTAAGCCCTGCTCCTACCCTACACCAAGCCCTACGATCAATGCTGACAGCAAAACTGGTTTTGGAGAAGAAAAACAAACTTGGAAAGAAATTGTGATTGAAGAAGACAGTCTAAACGCTTTTGACAATAATTCACGGACTGATGGGCTGCTGCTATACATGACTTTTCACTTCTCGACTCCATATATATACATACAAGACAGATACACGCCTTTGTGTTGGTCGTGTGAAATGAATTTCAAAAAGGAAGAAGCTTTCTCACTTTGTTTTCTTCTTGTGCAAGTTTCAATAGATAAATTAATGGAAAATCGCTGGCAAGTGAGAGAGAGAGAGAGAGAGAGAGAGAGAGACGGAGAATCATTCCATCTTCACCATCACACTCAAATACTCATTATCTATCGTTGATTTATTTATTTATTACTTCCATCCCTCGATCCAAAAAATTTGAGTGCTACCACATTCTGCCTAGATTAATATGAATCCTGGTTATGTAAGACTGTTATTACCACTGTGAACTCGGGGGTGCCTCAAGTTTTGACATATTTATTTAAACTCAACTATAATTTCAGGACTTAAACTCAAAACTATTAATAAACTGAACATCCTCAACCAATTGAACCAAACATCACTCAATTTATTTATTTATTTATTACTAAACGTCAAAGGAATCAAAGCTTGTGTTTGTGGAAGTTAGAAATAACGTTATTATTACCTTTATATTTGAATCTGAAAACGCAAATTTATAGGAAGTGACAAACAAAACTCTGTTTTTAGTCAAGAACGTCCATTGTTTATTCTTTGCCAGTTGCAATGATAGCGACCAGACTTTCTCTTAATCTCCAGAGATAGATTATTCATTTTTTCGTGCATAGAAAATTAAACATCTTTTTTGGGTGGGGCCATAGCCCAAAAGAAGAAGAATGCAAAAGGCAAAGAAACAGACTTAGAACAGCAGCATCAACCATAACATCTTGACATTGCCCACAATCTCAGATATGCAGACCCTCAGATAACATAGAAAAGTAAACATTTAGTGACTTGGTCCTAAAATAGTTTCTTAATATATCAAATTATCAATTTTGCTAAGAATGTTTATTTAATTATTTGACTTTGTATATTTATATTGAAATTGTGATATCCTCTATTTTTGTTCGTAAATAAATACTCATGTATTTTCAAATCAAAATAATATTTTTTATTTGGATTTTAATATTGAAGGAATCACTTTACAAAAATATTACAACATTTATTTTTAACCTCTGAAGCTTAATTACTTCGTCTCATTTTTGTTAAGATTTTAAATGTTTAATAAGAATAAGGATCAAGACTCACAAAAATACAATATTTTTAAGGAACATAAAAACAAGATATTAGTATTTTTGTATTTTGACATCACCACTCATATTTTGGAGAATAATGGTTGGATGTCTTCAATGTTAAATAAAAACATAAAATTTGATAATCATAAAAATAAGTTAATTCCTATATATTTATAAAAGTTTTAACTTGATTTTGAATATTATAAAGATATTTCTTACAAAGTTCTACCAAAACTTAATTTGGAAGCGGGGCAGATCGGTTACAACACAAAAAGGATACAAGAACAAATAAACCACTTGTAATTGTTCTCAGGAGGCAAAAAGGAATATGTACGTACGTATGTATTTTAACAAGAAGAATATATCATTTGAGGAACCAAAACAAGTTTACGCAGGAAGCCAGCCAGGCGCACTATGATGAAAGCTAGGAGACGAGGTGCTTAGGGATATTGATCCTTCTTTTCTAAATATTCACCATTGATTTTTTTTTTAATTTCTTTATTTTCCCCCTCCTTTTTTTTTCAAACAAATTCCTACTTTATCATAGCATTTAGTGGACAATATATAACACGTGCATACATAAATTGTCTCTAAATAAAAAAAAAAGGTCAAGAATGACATCATCATCAATATTCTTGAGTCGTAAGCATGCATTACAAGTGCAGCTTGTCCATAATATTATGTTTTAATTTGTAGAACTACTTTCCCCCTACTCTTAACAAAAGATGTCTTTAATTTTGTTGTAAAATAATGCGAATAGAGAGTAATAGAACAATAGAAATAATTTCTTATCCTATATAATATCTCATTAAAAATAGTACGCCCGCCATAGCCTGACATGATCAAAGGCCTTGTCATGTTAAATACTCCTATTGTCCTACTTAAAAAGTGGATATTTATAAAGTACATCAATAATTATTATATTTATTTTTATCTTTGTTTCTATTAAATGTTGAGAAAATTACATGTTAAATTATTTTATTTTCTGTGTGTGTTAAATTATTTTATTTTCTGTCTGTGTGTGTGTCTTTAATCGAGGTAAAGTTTTCTGTGTTTGTGTTAAATTATTTTATTCTCTCTCTCTCTCTCTCTCTTGTGTGTGTATTTAATCAAGATAAAGTTAAAAACTTATTAAATTTTTAGATAGAGTCAATAAGATTTAAAATTTTTCTTCGTTTCGATAAAAATAATGAAAGTGATTTATTTAATAAAAATAATTTATAAATAAGATCAAATAGAACAATAAACAGTGGATAATAAATGCCATCGTTGGGAGTGAAAATAAATCTCATGAATAGTAGGAGTTATTTGAGAAAACATGAACGGCTTAAGTGGAGATGGACATCCACAAACTCTTGATATTCATAACAATCTCTTAAATATCCATTATTTATAGTGCCTCATTAAAAAATTTCGACTAGAAAAAACTTTGTGAGATAAAAACCTAACAGAAGAAAACGAAAACACCATTCTTTAATACACTATTTAAAAAAACTTTGTGAGATAAAAACCTAACAGAAGAAAACGAAAACACCATTCTTTAATACACTATTTAATGTTGCCTTATATTAGAAACCTTAACAAAAAAATTCAATAATACAAAGATGAGAATGAGACCAACTGGAGTGACAGCATTAGAGTCTCAGTATTTGGAGTGACATGATAGTTTGCTCCACTATTAAAATACCAAGCAGGGTCAGCCACAATGCTCGACATTGCATAATGAGCTAAGAGGATAGGAGTCATAAGGTGGCCGGAAGTTATGATCAAAATGATGGAAGCAGTTGGCGACTATGTGACCAGGACGTTTGCACAAAACGCCAGTATAGACGATTTCCATTCCATGACCCATGACTACATGGTCAACCATGACCACAATAATCCCTGCTAGCAAAATGACTATCACGATCTTCATTTCTATTAGCAACATTCATTGTGGACTGAATAAAGGGATTAGCAAACTGGTTCAGTTGGTCCAGACGCGTTTCCAAAGCTAGGAAAGTAGCTTGAGCATCAACCCAAGTTAGATTAGGTTGGTCAATCAGCTTAATAACAATGGTATTATACTTATGATCTAAACTATTTGGAGTATGAGTCATGAGATTATCATAATCAACGGGTGAACCTACAAAAGCCAATTGGTCAGCTATGTGTTTCATTTTAGATAAATATTCCTCCATTTTCATGCCATTTTTCTGTGTATGATGAAGTTTTGTCTTGAAAACCATGACATGGGCCCTGGTTGAAGCACCAGAAAGAGACCGAGCAACTTCCCAGAGAACTTGAGCAAAGTGACAATGGAGAAGTTGAGACCTAACATCAACCATCATCGTGTTGCAAAGCCATCCAATAAGAAGGCGATCAACAGCATGCCATTCTTCAAACTTTAGATTTGGCTTCATCCCTACACCATCAGGAATGAGACACAGTTGAATCTCATTTCGACTATTGATATGACCCTCGAGTTTATTGCCTTCTATCAAAGGAAGAACAACAAATTCCCAAATGAGATAATTTCCTCAATCCAACTTGACCAAGGTAATTGCCCGATTGAAGGATCTAAAGAGTGGATTAATTTTCAAACCAGTGTGAACAGTGATATAGGTCAGTGAGTCAATAGTAGCAGAGGAAGAGGAGGAATGTGAAGTAGCCATAGAAGCAATATAAATGACAAAGACCAGATTGCTCTAAATATTAAGACAAAAAGAAAAAGGGGATTCGGATGATTATGCTAGACCTCAATAGTAAGGCTAGATGTAGTACTATTCCATAAATAATATAGACAGTTGTGCAAAGATACAATCAAGAGAGTACACATGGCAAAGATAAAAAATCTCTCATGCACACATTACAGACCACGTGACCTCATTAGAAGATTCTACACACATACATATAATTACACTAAAACACATTAATTAGATGCTCTAATATTTCCATTTGGTAAACAAGAAAGAAGAAATAATTATACTTGACACTATTTTTGGTAGCCAATATATTATCTCATTGAAAGGACATGATATAAACAAAACTTAATATGAAAATTTATTCCTTAAAACACTACTACAAAAAAGGCTCTTCAAGTGATTATTATTATTGTGTTTCTTAAACACCACTAGATCCAGTACTCTCTAATACTAGATGTAGTGTTTTTGGTATTATAGAAATGCTACAAGAGAGAGCATTGGCCTGTAGCACCTCTAATTGAGAAGTGCTACCTATTGTGATACATTAGGCACCACATTAGTTACTTAATGTGTTAATTTTTTTAAAAAAATCATATTACAAGAGGTAGTGCTTTCTCCAAGAAGCACTACATTTTGTTTATTTTTTTCCTTGAATTCTTAACCCTTTATTTTTCCCTCCTCACCAGCAACTCCAACCTAATTAATATTTATATAACATACAATTAATTATAAAAAATAATTAAAATAATGATACGAGCAACTAAATCATTCATGGAATTCAAAACATAAAACTTACAAATTAAGCAGAAAAGAAAATTGGTAATATCATTACCACATAATTTTTTTTATTTATTCTCTAAGTATGATTAAATTTTTTATATAATCATAAGGAAGATAATCTACCAAATAAAAATTACAATGCATTTATCCATATATATATATAAAACCATATATTTCCTAATTAAAATTTTAATTTAACTACATATATTAGAATTATTTAAAAAAAGAGTGACAAAGAGGGATATATGTATCTTATGGAGATAGTGGATGAGTCTAATACATAGGGAACAATTGTATTTCATTTGAAAAATATTGAATGAAGAACAAATTAATTATTTATTTACTTTTAAAAATAGTGTATATCTTATGTCACTATTTTGAACTTTGTAAAAAGTAACAATGTGAGTGGATAAGGACAAGGTAAGATGAAACAAAATAAAGGATAAAGAAGGAAAGAGTAGGAGAAGGAAGAAGGGAGTGGCGTGACATGTACAAGAAGTTAATGTAGGTGGGTGAAAACGTACATGTTGCAGCTAAGGAGAGGAAAAAGAGGAAGAAGATGGGTGCATGTATATATGTACCTTAAAACTGCCTAACACTCTGGAAAAGATTGAGGAAGAAAGAAATGGGTCATATGTTATAGAGAGGGAAGATTGGAAGGTGAATGTGAAGGAGTTGGAGAGAATGAAGAACAAGATGTGATGCAAAGGGGAGCGTATGACAGATGGGGTAAGGGAGGGGTGGAAAGGAATTTTAAATATTAGTTGTGGCCTTTTTGTCTAGAAATGCTCCTCTTATAGGTAGTAGCAGCACTTATGTCAAGAAGCGCTACTACAAGGTTGTGGTAGGTTTTTAATAAGAAGCTACTATATGTAAAACTTTTCAAAAAAAATTAAAAAAAAAACTTAGGTAGATTCATAACACCAAATGCCAGGGTGAGCTCTTTCCTCTCCGTACGGGGGAGACTTTCCCCACCGACTTGGGTGGCTTCTTTCTCTGAGCACTTTTGACAAAGTGTGCGACCGCTATCCACCCACTGTGGAAGCTTCCTATCTTCATGAGGGTGTGTCTAAATTGGTTACAGTGAGTGTCATCTTCCACCCACTGGTTGATTTCATAGTGTGTGTGTGTGTTTTTTTTTGTCTAGTATGCTTTGTACTATACAAAAGGGTTATGCGTGTGTGTCTGTGTTGTTTTGGCAGTAGGAAATCCAGTGAGTATGCTTTTTTTATCTAGTATGCTTTTTTTGTCTAGTAATCATAAGGCTTCAGGCTTTCAGCAAAAGATTGAGCTCCAACATAATGAAGAAAGTTAGCTAGGAAGCTCTTTGATTGGGCATTTAGAGGTTGTGAAGGAGCTTAATAAAGCAACCACACATTCGATGGTCTAGAAAGGATGGAATATAGGTCGGGATGTGAATATTTTGGATGTTGATAAGAATGCTTTTGTTTTTAAATTTGATCATCTTGGTGACTATCTCTAGGTATTATGAGGTTGACCCTAGTTTATACAAGGACATCTTTTGACTATTCAACTCTAAGATGACTATATGATGCATGGAGAGGTAAACACTAATTATGTTCCTTTTTGGGTGCAATTCCATGGTCTTCCTTTTGCTTTCATGAGTAAGAAAAATGCTTTGCATCTGGTTTCTTCTGTTGGAAATGTTGTTATGTATGAGAACTCGATAGTTGATAGAAAGTTGATTTGTAATTGACTGCAGGCTAGAGTTCTTTTCAACATTACCTCTCCTCTTGTTACAGGGTTCTAGGTGCCAAGGCCAGGCAAGGATGGTATTTGGGTTGAGGTTAAATATGAGCAATTGCCTAGATTTTTATAAATGTGGCATCATAGGGCATAAACAGAGGGCTTGTAAGAAGATGAATGATATGGTCAAAGAGAATTCTAATTTTAGAAGTTGGTTGAGAGCTACCCAAGTGAAGCCTGTGGAGGACTTGTTGGTGGTGAATGAAGCAGGATTATGTGAAGTTGAAAAGTCTAGCAAGAAGGTGACACATGACAAACAACAACCCAAGTCGCCTGATGAGAGGGCAAAGACTTTGTGTAACGATTTAGATAATTAGATACATGGTAGTAATGCAAGTCAAAGGAAGTTTATGGTACCACAGCATAAAGTTGATCCACGTGACAAGGTGAGTGGTGTTAAAAGGCAAAAATTTTCTTCTAACTGTTGAGGTGAGACTAAAGAGGACATAAAGATTGAGTATTGTTATTATATCACCTATGAGACACTTTTATAAGGTTAGCCCTAAAAATAAAAATAAGGCCCATGGCAAGGCTAGCTCACATAAAGATTAGTCCACATAAGGTATTGTTGAGAGGTAGGTCAAGTAAGGTGGTTGAGCTACAAGTCAATGAAGTAGATTATTCAAAATCTATTATCCCTTTTATGCCTGATTCTCCTATATCTGAAATGGCAAATAAATAGGGTGGTGTGAAGATTAAGAAGAGCCTGCTTATGATAGATTCTCCTTGCTACTTGAAACACTACAAGAAGGAAGATTTGGCTAAGTCCTATATTGAAACAAGTTGACCAGTGAAAGGAACAGTACTAAGAAGCATAATGTGTGCGAAACTAAGCAGCATATTAGACGTAAGTTGGCTTACTCTGTGAACCTATTTCTTCTATTTTTACTGATAGGATGGGTAATCAAAATTGGGAGGATGATTTACCATACATGCACAAAGAATTATTAAAAATGTTGCTTTTTCTGAAGGCTTGGGTGGCTAGCCTCAAATAGCCCCCAAGTCCCATGAAGCTCATCTCTTAGAATTGTTGAGGTCTTGGGGTTGCCTTACAGCTAAAAATGTTAAGGAGGTTAATAAGCAAAATAAACCCCCCTTGGTTTTCCTTATGGAAACTATGTAGAAAGAAAGTGTTGTTAAAAGATTTAAGTGAAGGTATGGATTTGATGAAGAGTAGATAGTTGACCCTATTGGTTTGAGTGGGGGTCTTGCTTTATGGTGGGACAAGTCAATAATTATTAATATCCTCTTCTCTTTGAGTAATATTATTCATACTCCTATACATTCTAGTACGGTACCTGTTCCTAAATATATCACTTTTGTGTATGGACCCTCAAAGGAAGGTGATAGAAGAGAAGTATGGCATAAAATTGCTGACTTTGCTAAAGGAGTTAATGGTGAATGGCTGCATATTGGCGATTTTAATGACTTCATTAGCCAAACAGAAAAGTAAGGAGGTAAGCCGAGGGCTATGAGGAAAATTTTAAATTTTCAGAAGTTTATTGCAAATTGTGGTTTTATGGATTTGGGCTTTCAAGGATCATTTTATACATGGTGAAACAATCATATTAGCAATGCTCATATTAAAGAAAGAATTGACAAGGCATCAGGAAACGTTGATCTTAAAGAGGCACTTCCTAAAGCTTAGGTTTTTCATTTAGAACTTTAGTTCTAACCACTTTATATTGCTCGTGGACTTATGCTATAGCAGTATCAAAACTCCATATGGCTTCAAGTTTGAAATCATGTAAATGGACCATCTAGATTACTCTCAAATTGCGAAAGATAGTTAAAGATCTTCATATGAATTATCTGCAAGTAAAATCAAGGATTTCATTTTAAGACTTAAACATTATGAGAAGGCCTTGCATGCTAGGGCAAAAATCTTTCCTTAATAGTAAAAATTTAATTGATCATTTATGTAGAAGTATATGTATATCTCTTGTAGGTGAGTTTACTAAAGAAGAAATGCTTGAATTTGAAAAAGTTACTACAGAACTTGAACGAACCAGGGATAAGGAAGAGGCTTATTGGTGGCAATGATGTTGTATCTCTTGGCTTAATTTTGGTGATCAAAATCTCATTTCTTTCATATGGCTTCTCTTCAAAGAAGGAGGAGAAACTTAATTCTACGCCTTAAAAATAATAGTAGAGCTTGGTAGAAGACGAAGGTGATATTGTTAACCATGTCTCCCAGTATTTGGTTGATTTGTTTACTACTTCTATGCCTTGCAATTTTGAGGAAGTGTTAGGTTATATTGATGGTTGTATTGATGATGATCTAAATAACCTTCTACTTGTTCCCGTTAAGGATTTAAAAATTAAAGAGGCTGCTCTTCAACTTGGGGGTGCTAAAGCCCCTAGACCTAATGGTTTCTGTGGAAAGTTCTATCATCATTCTTGGGTTGATATTAGGGGTAGTGTCATAGCTACGGTGAAGGAGTTTTTTAGTGGTAATGGTGATATTAGCATGATTAATGACACAAATCTTGCTTTGATCCCAAAGCTTGAGAAAGAAAAAATGGTATACCAATTTCTTTCTATTGGTTTGTGTAATTTCTCTTATAAGGTTATTTCAAAGCTTTTGGCTAACCAATTGAAGCTGGTGCTAGATAAGTGTATTTCTAAAAATCAAGGAGCCTTTGTTCCTGAAAGATGTATCCAAGACAATATTAGCATTGCTTATGAAGTCTTCTATTATCTTAGGTGCAAGAAAACTAATGCAAAATTTGAGTTTGCTCTGATGGATATGAGCAAGGCATATGATAGAACTGAGTGGGACTTCTTATAAGCAGTTTTGTTTAATTTGGTTTTTCTACTTGGTGGGTGAATCTTATTATGTCTTGTGTCACCTCGGTTTATTTGAATTTATGTTTGTCTGGTAGGAAAGTGGCATCAACCACTACAAGTAGAGGATTGAGGCAAGGAGACCCCCTTTTGCCTTGCGTGTTTATTTTGATAACTGAGGTTTTCTATAGCATGCTTAACAAGAACATTGACTCTAGAGTTCTTAAGGGCATGAAACTCGCCAAGGATTACCTTATTTTATCTCATACTTTTTTTTGTTGATGATGCTTTATTGTTTATGAATGCAGATTCTGAGAACTGTAGGAAAGTGGCTCATTGATGAATCTCTACTGTGAGGCTTTTGGTCAACAAAAAAATCTTAACAAGTCTAGTCTGATTTTTTCTGCTAATACTCCAGTTGATGTTAAGGAGGAAGTGAGTAGGCTATTGGGCATCCCTCCTTTAGAGGACCCTAGAAAATACATAGGTATTCCTAATGTCTCGGGTAAAATGAAATGTCAAGCTCTAGTATATGTAATAGAATGGGTTGATAAAAAAGTGCAAGGTTAGCAGAAGAATTTATTATCCTTTGCGAGTAAAGAGGTGATGATCAAGGCTATAGTTAATGCAATCCTTATATATCCTATGTCTTGTTTCAAATTTTCTCTTAAGACTTATAAGAATCTTGATAGAGTTGTTACTGATTTCTGGTGGGATGGGAGTGGAAACAGTGATAAATTTCATTGGAAGGCTTAGAATCATATGATGACTCCTAAATGTGAAGATGGTATGGGCTTTCGAGATTTTAAAGTCTTCAATGACTCTCTTTTAGCCAAAATGGCATGGAGTCACTAGTGCAAAAGGCACTTTTTGCCACAATTAAAAAGCATTGTTTGTGACAGAAGATGGTGTGTAGTAGAAGCAAATGTGGTAGTAAATAACAGTTTTTGCGAACTGTGGTGAAAAATTGCAGTTATGACCACAGGTCCAAGCTAGACCTATGGCCGTAAATGGTTAAAAGAAGCATTTAGGGCCACAGGTCTAGCTTAGACCTATGGTTGTAAATGGTTGGCATAACCATTTATGGCTACAATTATTAACCATAACTATGCCGTAAAGGGCATTTTTTGCCACAGTTATATAACTATACACATCATTTACATATAAAACCTACATAAATACATAAAAACAACTTTAGAGACCAGTACAAACATATCAACTAAATATATGCATTTTTGATATAAATATCTGTAAAATATCTACTCTAATCTTGTTAATTCCAGGAAGAAACTAGATCAAATATTTTGTACATGTCTCAACTACTCTTGCTTAAAATATGGCTCTAAATTTTTGAAATGCTACAAATTCAATAACATTATTACGTATGAGTAATATTTTAAGTATGGGCGAGCTTCAAAATATAAATAATTATTAACAAATTATTCACTCCTGAATATATATTTGCTGATAAGAGAATTCAGTTTGCTGCGATGATGATTCAAAACTTGCTTTACTTGTACTGCCAAATCAATTTGAACTTGTTCTAAGCAATACGCTATTCATCAACAAGAAACTAAGTTCAAGAATAATGTAATTTTTTTCAAGGTAAAAAAAGGAAATTGTAATTTGTTCCAAGGGGGAAACTACTATTTCCCTTGCTCATAATGGCTATAAGTCCCCAAGAATGGTTCTTAATTATGTTTTCTTTAACTATTTGTAATACTTGATCATTGCTTCCTCCGTTTCTATTTAAGGTTTGTACACATATTTAATCTATTCACACACGCACATACACAATAATTCATATTCATGATACTATTTAGTTTAACTCACCGCATGATCATCACCTTTCTTCTTTTCTAGCATATATATGCACATCCCCATTAAAAAAATAGAAACTTCCCCTGCACTTTACAATTAGCTTACCATAAAGTTCAATAGGATTGTGAACAACTAATGTGTCAAAGAACAATGAACTCCACCAATAACTAATTAAATCATACTTGTTAGTCCTTTGGGAAGAAGGAATGGTGGTTTGTGCAGATAAAGATAATGGTTATTGCATTGAATTTGAGGCTTTAGGGGAGAAGTAAATAATTTAGCAGCATATGATACTACAATCATTAGCCAAATCTAACAGTCCTTTCCCAAAAGAGTTTTGCTAAATCACTTTTAAAGCTGGAATTATAGGAGTGACATTAGTCCCAGGTGATAGGAAGTCATAACTAAACATAATTAATTAGGGAAAAACTGATAAACATAATTAAATATGTTTTTGAATTATTATATATAAAACAAAAACCATTGAAGTCACTTTTCTTTTACTCTCCTATGAAACTGATGAGGATATGGTTCTAGTTCTTGTAACTAATCCATTCAAACACACTTTGCCATTATAAAACAAAAAGCTTGAAGACCAGGCTTTGAAAATTTTAAAGACTTGGGAAAGGGATAAAGTGCCAAAACTAAAAACCATTCTATATAATATTATCACAACAAAAGCAAAGATAAAGAGAAAAGGAAGGTAGAGGATAACAGTGGATCAAAGCAACCTAAATACAACTTGTATTAAGCCAATAAAGCTACTGATTCTTTTCTATACAACTTGTATTTGGTGGTTTTTCAAGCTTAGACTTTTTATTAGTATATTGTGGTTCACTCTAGCAGTCCAATCATACAAGTTAATGAAAAACATAGGAGTTTAAAAATGCAATGCTCACCGACACTTTTCTCCTACTGGCCCCTTTTATCTTTCGTTGCTCATATCTATACTTATTGTAAAAGAAGAAAGATTAAGTTTTACGAAATTTTAGGTAAGTTGAAAGTTCATAGTAACTCTCAAAATATACAAAGAGCATACTTCAAATCTATTATTCTAACAACTGGGGAATTTGCAGCTGGGGATACTCTTACCTATAAAGAAGAGCATTTATTTCAATGATAAGGCAGCATTTATTTCAAGGATATATTTCAATGATAAGAATTAAAAACTTCATCATAGAAAATCTTCACAGAATCCATTACAAGGTGCACACTAGTGGAACTGACTAGAAATAGTTAAACTAAATTTGATATCTAAGACTTATATTATCTTTTTGTAATATTTATATGATTTAACAGAACATTCAAGCGATAGTAGCCATAAGACATGGATAGATAGCTATAGTGTAAAGATAATACAAACAACAACAACAACAACAAGCCTTTATCCCACTAGGTAGGGTCGGTTATATGGATTGCAAGACGCCATTATGCTCTATCATTTATCAAGCTTTTAGTAATATTATTAATTAACAGATCGCGTTCAATAACTTCCAAAAGTGTTCTCTTAGGCCTTCCTCTACCTCTCTTAATCGGACTCAAAGTTATATGTTCCACTCTTTCACTGGTGCCTCCCTTGGTCTTCTTTGTACATGCCCAAACCATCTCAACCGATTTTCTACCATTTTTCCTCAATAGGTGCCACCCTCACTTTTTTGCGTACGTGCTCATTTCGAATTTTATCTTTACGTGTATGTCTGTACATCCATCGTAACATTCTCATCTCTGCTACTCCAACTTTATGCTCTTGCTGTCCCGTTAAAGCCCAGCATTCACTACTATATAACATTGCCGGTCTGATAGCAGTGCGATAAGACTTTCCTTTAAGTTTATTAGGCACCTTACAATCACAAATAACTCCTTTAGCTTTTCTCCAATTAAACCACGCAGCTTGAATTCTATATAAAATATCTCCACTGATTTCGCCATCATTTTGAATAATGGCTCCTAGATATCTAAACTTTTCCACTTGAGGTATAATTTGATCTCCCAATTTCACTTCCAAATTATTTTTGAATAGTCCTTTACCAAATTTACAATATAAATATTCTGTCTTACTTCTACTCAGACGAAAACTTTTCGACTCCAATGTCCTCCTCCATAACTCAAGTTTGCAATTAACCTCTTCTCTTGTATCTGCTATAAGAACTATATCATCCGCGAAGAGCATACATTTCAAAATTTCCCCTTGAATATGTTCCGTCAAAACATTTAAGATCAAGTTAAACAAATAAGGACTCAGAGATGATCCCTGATGTAGTCCAATCTTTATAGGAAAATCCTTTGTTTGACCACTAGGCGTTCTTATACTAGTTTTTACCCCCTCATACATATCTTGTATGGCTTTAATATAAGCAATCCGTACTCCCTTTTTTTCTAACGCTTTCCAAAGCACTTCTCTTAGTATACGGTCATAAGCTTTTTCCAAATCAATAAAAACCATGTGTAGATCTTTATCTTCACAACGATACTTTTCCATTAATCCCCTTAGTAGATAAATCGCCTTGTAGTTGATCTACCTGGCATAAAACCAAACTGATTCTTAGAACTACTTGTCTGCAATCTCAACCTGTGCTCAATTACTTTCTCCCACAATTTCATTGTGTGGCTCATGAGCTTAATCCCTCTATAGTTAGTATAATTTTGAATATCTCCTTTATTTTTATAAATAGGAATTAATGTACTTCTCCTCCACTCATCAGGCATTTTCTTGGACCGTAAAATCACATTAAATAACTTAGTTAACCATCTCACCCCTTCTTCACCTAAACATTTTACTCTTCGATAGATATACAATCAGGTCCGTTGGCTCTACCATTTGCCATTTTCTTAAGAGCTTCCTTTACCTCCTTATCACGTATTATTTGATAGAATGACAAATTTTGTTCTCCTTCACCAGTTACTAAATCCTCCAAGTTACTAGATGAACCCTCTCCATCATTGAAAAGTTTGGAAAAGTAAGTCTCCCATCTATTTTTAATTTCATCATCTGTAACTAAAGTTCTTCCCTCTTCATCGTTAATACACCTTACCTGTTCTAGATCTCTTGATTTTCTTTCCCTACTCTTGGCAATCTTATAAATATTTCGCTCTCCTTCCTTCATCTCAAGGCTCTTATAAAATTCTTCAAAAGCTTTAGAACGAGCTTCACCCACAGCTCTCTTAGTTTCCTTCTTAGCCATACGGTACCTCTCTCAATTTTCCTCATTGTTACACAAATGTATGGCTTTAAAACAATTCTTTTTATACTTGATTTTGTCCTGTACACTATTATTCCACCACCAAGACTCCTTATCTCTCGGACCAAAACCTTTTGATTCTCCCAAAACTACTTTTGCAACCTCCTGTATCTTTTTAACCATATCCTCCCACATGATGCTAGCACTTCCCTGAGATTCCCAAATTCTTTTATCCAAAAGATTTCGCTTGAAAATATCTTGCTTCTCACCTTTTAATTGCCACCACCTAATCGTTGGTGCTACTACTTGTCGACGTTTTTGGATTTTACTCATAATACACACATCAAGGACTAGGACCCTATGTTGTGTCGTTACAGCATCTCCGGGGATCACCTTGTAATTTTTACAAAGTCTTCTATCTGTGTTCCTAACCAAAAGAAAATCAATCTGTGACCTTGAGGCTCTACTTTTATAAGTGATGAGATGCTCATCTCTCTTCTTGAAACAAGTGTTGGCAATCTTAAAATCATACGCCAATGAGAAATCAAAAAGAATTTGTCCTTCATTGTTTAGCTCTCCAAAACCAAAACCACCATGCACCCTCGCATACTGACTAGCTTCCCTCCCGACATGCCCATTAAAGTCTCCTCCAATAAAAATCTTTTTACTCTGTGATATGTGTCAAATCAACCCCTCCAGATCCTCCCAAAATAATTCCTTAAGACTGGCTTCTATCCCGACTTGCGGCGCATAAGCGCTAACAATATTAACAGTCTCACGTCTAATTATCATTTTTAAGGAAATAATTCTATCTCCAATTCTGCTAACTTCTACAACGTTCTTCTTCCACTCTTATCTATAATGATGCCTACTCCATTGCGTGTACTTACTTTTCCTGTATACCAAAGTTTGAAACCTTGAATATCTTAGCTTCTTCTCCACGCCATTTTATTTCTTGCAGGTAAAAGATATTGATTTTCCTTTAAATCATAACCCCAACAACCTCTACAGATTTACAATTCAATGTCCCAATATTCCAAGTACCAAATCTAATTTTGCTCTCATGGACTAACTTCTTTAGCCGCGTGCGTCTAGAATGACGTAGTAGCCCTTGCTCATTTAACACTACATCCGGGCGTCGATATAGCAGCTCTAACTCACTTATCACTGTACTCGAGCCATGCAGCGCGTTACTTATGGGCAACGACCTAGCATTAACATTATAACGTCTATTGTCCATGTTCATGATAGATTTAACAAAGTTTTACATTAGCTGTTGATAGCCTAACACAACCCTCCTCCTTTACCCGGGCTTGGGACCGGCTATAAACATAGGCGGAGTTAGTGTAAAGATAATACATTACAACTTAATCCTATAAACGTTGAACAAATGCTATCATACTCTTCCTCAGCCTCTTAAACAATCTTAAAATCATATTTGTGGTTCAATGTACTTAGATAAGTATGTGGTATCCTTCATGAATAGAGAAACACAGACCCCAACCAACCCTTTAAGATACAATTATAACTAACTTAAAGACAAGGAAAAAGCAACATACCAAGTCAAGTTCGGAATCTTCAGCCATTTGAATGGCCTGACTTATGGACACTATACCAATCTGCGAAAACCAAAGACAACACATTTTCAAAGTAGAGAATGATCCAAAACCAAGAAGATGAGCCCACGCTCTAGCAAGTAGCTAACCCCATTGTGGAAATTTCAAATAGTATAACTAGGCATAAAAAATAACTAAATAAATAAATATCATCTTTCAGTTCAATAAAATTTCTAGCATGCATTGTCTTTCTTTCCATTTGCTTCTCCAGCGATCAAACAAATGAATGCCATTTAAAGTATATATAAAGAAGGAAATATCACTGACCATATTTTGATTCTCATCAATAAGCCTCATAGTGTTTGACCTGTTACAAGCCATCAAATACAAAGACAGAGTAATGGAGGTGCAAAGAAGGAGAGGAAAGATTTGGAGAATCACCCGATTTTGTGATCTTTCCAGTTAATTCCATCGTTGGAGAATTATTGGATTAGTCATATATGTTCCTAACAAACCATCCGGTTAATCTCTCATTTCTTATACCTAGGTCATATATTTATATATAATTTTTTTAAAAAAAATAAACTTAATTACTTGAAAGTGACGTGAATGGAGATAAACAACCCAGAACCAATAGTGAAAGAACACACTCGTGCTTAAATTCGGTGATAAAGAGCCCACTCGTACTGGGCGAAGAGTTAAACTTTGTTCAATGGCCATGCAAAATCAAATAGGGAGAGAGAGATGAGGTTGGGCGGAGGCGGCGATCGGGGTGCGGTGGGACGGGGGAGTTGAGGGGAGAGATGGGGAGAGGGAGTGTGGGAAGAGGAGCTAGGGGTGCGGCAGAGAGGGAAAATAATTTTAGAGGTGAGGGAGGCAGCAGCAAAAGGCAGGGAAGGTAAGGAAGCTGAACGTTGGTGTTGATTATTTATGGCGACATGTTATCATCAAGCTGTTGCTATAAATAAAGCAAATGTCTATAGCGACAGGTTCTCATTAAACCTGTCGCTGTGTAAACCTGTCGCTGTAGATGCTGAGAATACATTTATGGCAACAGACTTGGGAGGCGCCTGTCGCCATAAATATGTATGAATGAATTATAATTTTTTAAAATTTATTTTGTTAATTAACTTTTTTAATTTGTCATTTTATTTTAATTAATAATTTTTTAAAAATTTGTCATCTAAATTTAAATATATTTACTATTTAAATCGAGACACATTTATGGCGAAAGGTGAGAGGGGCACCTGTCACCATAAATGTCTGATTTCATATTTATGGCCACAGGCTCAAGGGGTGTTTGTCGTCATAAATGTCTAATTTCATATTTATGGCCACAGGCTCGAGGGGTGTCTGTCGTCATAAATATGTTTAAATATGCAATTAATAGTTAATTGATTAAAATTTATTTTATTAATTAATATTTTAATCTGTCAATTAACTTTTAATTTTGATTGAATTTAGACACAATTAAAATTTAATTTATTGGACATAATTAATTTATATTTACTTATTAATTAAATTTTGATAATTTAGGTTAGTTATTTTTTATCAATCACGGCGGCAGTTGGTCTTTATATCTATTGCCATATATTCTACATTTTTTACTTATTTACACATTTGCCATTGAATATATTATTATCACAATTATATTGAAAACTATGGTGAAAAGTATGTCGTTAAAATTATAACTTGTACTAGTGAGTCTGTCCCAATCCCCTGACTCTCTTTGTTTTGTTGTGCTTAAGACTATATATTTTTCTAAAGGTACTTTCATGTCAGCCAAAAAAGGCATAAGGCTTCATGGATCTGGTCAAGTGTCTTGACTAGTTGTGATTTCCTTAGTAAGGATATTGTGTGGGTGATTGGAATGGAGACTCTATTGGCTTGTGGAATGATTTCTAAATTCCTTTGCTGAACAGAAAGAGTTTAAATCAATTTCTTAATGTAGAGGTTAAAGATTTTAGCAAAGTTAGTTCTAGTATCTATAATGGTAGTTGGCATTTGTCAAGTTTACATGATAAAATTCCTAGTTATATCCTGGATGCTATTAGAAATATCAAGTTAGACCATGTCATGTCCAAGGATAAATTGTTTTGGTTTGAAACTCGTAGTGGCCATTATACTATCAATATAGGTTATAAGAAGGCTATTCGATGCACTATAGTGGTTCAACAATGGCCAAGTGCCTTCCTAGTCTTGTCTAAGGAAGTTTGGAACAAAATATGAAAAATCAAGACTCTTCTAAGAATCTCTCATTTCCTTTGGAGGTGCTTCTCACATGCTGTATCTACAAGGGAGATGCTATTTAAAAGGAAATGCTCAAGTTGTCTTTTGTGTGCTATATGCCAAGAGGCCCCTAAAACTCTTAAACATCTTTCCTTCTTTTACCCTTGGGTAAGATGCATTTGGTTTAGTCTTTATTTCTCTTTGAAACTTGATAACTTGCACATCACATCTTTTGCTTCTTGGTTTTTGGATTGTGTGGTGCATTGTTCAAATTTGAATGATAAAGATCTTTCTGTTTTGGTTTGGGTGTTATAGCTAATTTGGAAGGGGAGAAATGACGTTGTCTTTAATAATAAAACCCTTAATCTTGCATCAATCTTAGTTTTAGCTCGTACATGTGTTTTTTAATTTTGATCTGCTACCCCTAACGTTGCTACTAGTTTTATTAATGCTAATAACATGAAGAGAATCAAGTGGCAGGCCCCTAGTGAAAATTACGTGAAGATTAATTATGATGGTTTGTTTGCTGCAAGCTAGAACATGGACAAGCACATTAATTTTGCCGCTATTGGGATTTTATGTCAACATTCTTCAGGGTCATTTTTATAGGATTTTTGGGAAAATATTCATGCTAATTCAGTATTTATGGTGGAGCTTCTTGCCGTTAAGAAAGCCATGTTACTCATCTTATGAGTTGAACATTGAACATGTGATAGTAGAAGTTGATAATGTTGATGTGTTTTTTTTATGCAATCTACTAGTTTCTTGAAATGTGAGTGGTCATGTTGCTTTATTCTCTAAGACATTTTGGATCTTGTTGCGTCTCGAGTTGATGTCTCCTTTTCTTTCTCCCTTGAGGAGGGGAATTGTGCTGCTGATTTTCAAGCAATTTCTTCTTGCAAGGGGGTGTGCCCCTCTGGGTGGGTATCTCAACTAACACCTTCTTTGGATCTTATTCTCACCCGTGATGTTGTTGATTCCAATGCTTCTCATGTTGTTTCTATGACTACTCCATTTGAGAGGGAAGGGGTTGGCTGATTGTCCTTAGTTTCCTCTTTCATCTTTTTTGTTGCTTTGGCTATCTTTTTTAGCTTTCTTCCTTTGTTTCCTTTGTCTTCTTATCTTTTTGGTTTGTAAACACTCTGCTTCTATTTGTATATTGGAATTATTCAAGTAAAAAAAAAAACTTACATAGCATGTTATCTCAATTCAATATAAAAAATTAAAAAGAAGATTGAGAGATACTCTTTTTGTTCAAAAATATAAAGCATTTTTTAATTAAATCTTACCTTCCAATAAAGTAGTTATTTCTTTTTAAACTAACTCTATCTTTTCATATTTACCCTATTTATAGGGTGTTTCACCCTAAATAAATATAATGTGATTTATTCAATAGAGGCACTTTTTTAAAAAAAAAAGCAATAATTACACCTTGAAATATTACAAATGTCTTATAATTTTAACACCCCACCTCTTAAAAAATGCTTTATATTTTTGGATAAAGGGAATAGTCTTTTTGCCCCCATAAAGAGGCTAGCTACTACTTATTCTACATCTTGTAGCATCTAAAGTTTTAAACACTTACTTGAAAAAAATGCTATTACTTATGCTACCAAAGGTCAATTATGTAGAATTAAAACTTGCATGTGTTGGAAACAATCTTCATTGTTGATCCAAGCTACATTTGCCATTAGGCTCAATTAATGAGACATTGGGTAGTTTCTTCACGTTATTTTCAAGTCTATGTGTTAGCCAAAGGGAACCCCATTATCATTGTATGGTTATATCATGAAAAGAGCCAAGAACATGGGTAAGATCCTGTTGGCTAGACCATTTAGATTGCCACCAAAAAATTTAAGTTGGATTTGCAATACTCTAACCCATTTAAAAATGAGATACAACTAACTTGCACCACTCAACCCACAACCCATATGGGTTGACCCACATAACTCAAATGTTGATCCATTGTTTTAGATAATGAATATTGACTAAATTGTTTTCAAATTTCTTTCAATTTATCAAAAAATATGGTTATATGGGTTGGCTAATATAGCTCACACAGGATTGAGAAATTCCTTGACATCGAAACTTCAACGACAAGTTGTAGTTTGAACCTTGACAAGTATATTCAGTCTTTAAATATTGATTGCTTGTTCCAAGAATATTAATATAATAATGAAGAGATGACAACGTTAAATATAATACTAGATTAGATTATTAATAACATTCAGTTATTCCAATTATCGATAATCTTGTTACATTATATTCTAAAATAATTTTAGATACATGTCCCTGTATTTTGAAGAAATTAAAGGACCATATGATGTAAGGTACATGCATTGGTAGTCTCAGAAAGGCCAATCCATATAACTACTTCTTAATAAATTGAAATAAATTTGAAAAATTTAAGTCCATATCCATTATCTGAAACAATGGGTTAACATGTGAGTTATGTGGGTTGGCCAATATGCTTTGTAGTTTGAGTGGTGAAATTAGTTCTATCTCATTTTTTAAATGGGTTAAAGATTATAACCATGCAATGATTATGTGGGTTCCCTTCGGCTAACACAAACACATGAACAACGGAGATGGTTTCCAACGCATGGCAAGTTTTTGTGCTACAAGATTGGTCTTTGGTATCACAAATTTAGTAGCATTTTTTCAAGTAAAAACTACAGATAAATTTAGGTAGCACTTAAAACTTCAAATGCTAATACAAGAAATAGAAAAAGAGGTAGCTTTTTTTTTTAGGTGGGTGGACTAACTTTTTAAATAAAATTAAAAAATTGAATTTTAGATAACATGCTAGTAAGTTTAGAGGTAGTACTTGCCTAACCAAGTGCTACCTCCATTTAAGTTTTTTATTTTCTAAAAATGTCATTGATGTGGTGTGCTTCTTGCTAAAAGAGCTACCGCTACATGGTAGTAGTGCTCCTTAAAAAAAAAAGTTTATTAGAAAAAAAAATCTTTAATCATTTTTAAATGTATAGGTAGCATTTTTTATTTGAAGAAAGAAGTAAGTTGTGTGCTAGAGAGAAGGAAGAAGAAAGATGTGAAGTTAGCAAGAGATAATGTGAAGTTCATGGGTGGGGCGGGAATTTTAAATACTACTGATAGTTAGTATCAAAATTGTCTTTCCATCAAAAACTCATCATCTTTCCCATTATCTATTGAAGTAGAATAGTTGTGAATCCCATGTATAATAATAGTAAGTCATTCTAACCCCCTTTGACCATTAGATGTAGGTCAAAAGGGCTAGAGTGGTGTAGGTGGTGTCAAGAACTAGGCCTAATTTTATTATCTAAACAATGACAAAATGAGTTAGAATGCCTTATTATTATTGTTTGTAGAACCTATAA